ATAAGAAACACTATTTACAGATTTAAAGGCAGACCTATGTAATTGGAGAGTTCAGTACAGTTGGGCCATGTCAGCATATTTACTAGTACAACTACTAAATATAATAACTTACTTATCTAGTAGCATTCCAATCATACTACTAAATATTACTCTATAAAGCTAAGAAGGAAAAAAAATCACCTAGAGCAACAAAAGATCAATAACCTCAAGAGGAATAATGGAAAAAGAATGATAATAATAATAATAATAAAGACTTGGGGAGGCCAGGTGATAATCTCTGCTACACAGCAATAATCATCAGAATCACTGAGCTCTAGTTAAAGAAACACAAAAAAGTTGATCAGTGGAAAAGATTAGTTATAGAAGACCCAGAGTCCCAGTCAAGACTCCAGCAATGGAGCCATCAAATAACAAGCATTTATTAAGCACTTATTAGCTACTAGATGGGCAGCTAGGTGGTGCAGTAGATAGAGTGCTGGGCCTGGTGTCAAGAACATCCACCTTCCTGAGTTCAAATCTGGCCTTGGTCCCTTAATAACTATGTGACCCTGGTCAAGTCATTTGACCCTGTTTACCTCAGTTTCCTCAACTGTAAAATGATCTGGAGAAGGAACTGGCAAACCATTGCAGTATCATTACCAAGAACACCCCAAATGAGGTCATGAAGAGTCAGACATGACCAAACAATAACAAAAGATATTGGGCATGGTGCTGGAAATACAAGTGAAAAGAATGTTTCCTTCTGCCCTTCAAGTTCATATTTTGGGGGTATAGAAAATGCCTAGTTTTGACTTTGTCTGGCTATGTTAATTTGTGATGAGGGAGTGCTCTATTTGGTGGGGGGGGGAGGTGAAGGTTGAGTGGTGAGGAGAATTGGGCTTTAAAAAATAAATAAAATGTGTCAAACTACTGTTTCAGGAAAATGCATAGTAGAGCTCAGAAGGCGTTAAAGGCAGACCCCAACAAGCAGCACCAGAAGAACTAGCATTCTGTGTTTAGTTTGTGCTTTCAAAAACCAGCGCTAAATAATGATATGATAAACAACACTCCTTCCCTTCCCTTTACTCCCTTTTCCCTTTCCCAATGGAAATGTCTATATTTGTTGATGTTCATCAAAGTTAGAGTTTTTTCTAAATTCAGAATAAAGGAAATGGCATAGTCTTCATAATCATTAGCTACTGGACCAGGAAGTTACCAGCCTGTGCCACCCAGCAGATTAGGTCCCCGTCTTTCACAAATCCTGTCACTTTGTCCCTTTTCCAGTCAAAATACACCTCTTTGCCGCTCTAACAAAACATTGAATGGGTAACTATTTGCCATTCCATTCCCAAAGGTTATGCCTTTTGGGCAATATGTTTTGAAAAGGATGGGGAAGGACTTTTTTTAGTACCAGTGCAACAAAGAAAATCCTTTATGCCATCACTTGGGAATAGCATTCATAGAAAAGAAAATGAAAACCAGTTTAGGAAGCATTGTTTTTTCTTTTGCTTCCATGAGTACCACTAGAGACACTTTATGTTATGCTTATTTGACTCCTGATACAACATTACTGTTGAAGTCATTCTAGTAATTTTTCATATTGTATGTATTATAAACTGGAAGGAATGTCGGGAATTGGATGAAGCAATCAGACTGGTTAATGTTTGGGATATTAGTTCTCTAGAATGGCCCAGAAGGATCATTTTAAACTAAACCACCCACACATAAAATCCAAATGGCAATGTTTGGAAGTTATTACTTTTCCCCCCTCATTTTCCCTCCTATTAGAGCCAAAAGCCCTTCACTATAGGGCCCTTCCTGTACATTAATGACTGGCCTTGGGTAATGGCCCTTGGCTCTACCTCAGGACATCGGCATCTCCTCAAGAATGATTCTGTCTATCCATCCTTATTGCTTAAATGTGCTTCCTCTGTAAATAGGTTTTTATAGATCTTCCAGGAATAGTGACATTCTTCCGGGGGATGGGGGATGGGAATGGTTTAGTAACTGAGAAAGGAAGTTGGAATAATACAAGAAAATAAGTGATCTTCATGTACACACTGCTGACCCTACCAACATCACTGCCCATCAAGCTCTTATCATCCTGCATGATGCACAAATGCACACAAAAGTTGGGAAAGAATTTAACATTTTGTGGGCAGGTGAGAAAAAAGAGCAGAGGTGGATGAAGTCAGAGCCAAATGGCTTAAAACCAAACCAAAATGTGGCAGGGGGGCATGCCTGGCACCTGCTCTGAGGCTCCATCTGGGGCTTGAGGGACTTAGGTCTAGAAAAAGAATCTCATATGATGAGATTAGCTTAATGTTAGGAAGCTTGATGAACCTCTCTTTTCTGGAACCTAGCATTTCAGAGGTGTGGGGGGGATAGCTGAGGAAGGAGAGATGGGCTACTCATTAGACTGAAGTTGTTTTATATTTAGTGTTTTCCTGTGTTGTTTAATATATCACTCTTTGAAGTTAAGACTAAGGAAGAGTTGGAACAGCCAGGGCAATATATGAACTTAGAGCACTATAGCTGTTCTTTAAGAAGATAACATGTTCAGATGTAAATGTAAGTTTACACCTGAGAAGGCCAAGATACCCTAACTTGGGTGTCTGTTGACACCCACCTTTCTAATTTGGTTTCCTTGCCTCCAGACTCTCCCCTATTCTCTTTAGTTTTTGCCCAGCTGTCCAATGAACATTCTTACCAACTGCTTGGGCTAGCTCTGACTATGACAATACCTGCCTCAAAAGTCCTACTAGTTCTTTGTGATTTTGATGACAACATGCAAACACAGCATTTAAATACCCTGAAAAATCTGGCTCCAGCCTCTTTTTCTAGGCTGATTTCACAGGGCATCCCTCCCTACCCGCTTCATCCCCTTCCATGCACTCTAAGCTCTAGCGAAAGTGTCTTGCTTGCTCTTCCTGTACTTGACATTTCATTTCCAGGTTCCTTGTCTTTGTTCAGGAATCCTGTCACACCCATTTCACTGTCCCTGGAACATATTGCTTCATCATTTCAGCCTCTTAGTGTCTGTCAGATGCCACTCCTTTCATGAAGCCTTCTTTGGCGGTTTCTGTACCATCCATGGCTAGGGCCTTTTTTCCTGCAAAATGCTTTGTATTTACTTCATAGAAAGGGAGCCTCAAAGGCAGGAAGACCTTTCAGGTCCTGTCTCTGACATTTACTGGTTTGCGACCCCAGGCAAGACACTGCATATCTTATTATTGTAGGGTCAGGGGTGTCCAGCAGGGGCTGGGACCTTCCTGAAGACAGTCCAACCCAGACTAAATGTAAGTGGGAAATATTTAACTAACTACCAACATCTATTAAAACGCAGATAACAGTATTGTTTTAAATATTTTCCAATTATATATAAAGACAATTTTTAGCATTCTTTTGTTGTATAAGATTTTGAGTTCCAAATTTTCTCCTTCCCTCCCTTTCCTAAGACAGTAAGCAATTTAACATTGTATTTTAAAGCATCATCACACAGCTCTCAGAGCTGCAGGTACAGTTTAGTGGCCCCAAATTCAATTGGAGTTTTACACTGTTGCTGGAGGTTACTTTGTAAGACTATTAGTCGTAGAGAATGTGCCAACCTGTGTTAGTAGAGGAGGCTTCCTCTCCTGGGAATTCACTATACCAGAGAAATAACACATCAATGTTCTATCTTTAGAGATATAGCTTGTGCCCTTACCCCTTCCTTTCTCTCTCTCTCTCTCTCTCACACACACACACACACACACACACACACACACACACACACACACCCCTATGTTCCATATATCAATGAAACCACAAGTTTCATCCCCACCCAAACACCATTTTATCTATCATCTATCTATCTATCTATCTATCTATCTCTCTATCTATCTATCTATCTCTCTATCTATCTATCTATCTAACTTTCAGTCTATCAATCATCCATGGATCTAGTTATCTATCATCTATCTCTATTAGATGTATCTTCTGTGTATCTTTCTTTTTCCTCAGTTAATTGTAAAATCCTTGAGAACAGTAGAAGAATTGTATGCTAGACTTTGAATTGAGAAGCTGAGGTTTCAAATCCTGCTTTAGACCCTTATTATCTGTTTGATTCTGGGCAAATCACTTCTCCTCCCTGTGCTTTAGTTTCCTTATATGTAAAATGGGAATTTGGAATTGCTGACCTCTACATTCCCTTCCAGATCTAAATTTCTAATCCTTGAGGTCAGAAAATAGTTTGATTTTGTCTTCATATCCCCAGTATCTAGCACAATGCATGTTCCATTATAGGTGCTTAATAAATGATTGTTGGATGAATGAATGAAGGAAGGAAGGAAGGAAGGAAGGAAGGAAGGAAGGAAGGAAGGAAGGGAGGGAGGGAGGGAAGAAGGAAGGAAGGAAGGAAGGAAGGAAGGAAGGAAGGAAGGAAGGAAGGGAGGGAGGGAGGGAAGAAGGAAGGAAGGAAGGATATGGGTCATTGAGAGAACCAAGGATGATGTGTTTGGAATACAGCCCATGTCATCTGGGACTAGTGGAATTCCTGGTCTCCTAGAATATATAGCCTTCGATGGAGGGGGCAGTTTTTAAAAAATCATTTTTGCCTCCTTTTTTAAAGGCATCTTGGTCTATAAAAACAATGAGCTCATTTACTACAGTTCATAAAACTCGCGGTATGCCCAACAGCCAGGAGAGAGCTCCTTCTGTTCATGACCTAACATTTAGAAGCCCATCTGTGGCAGCAACTGGGCGTATCATAGCTGAAGAAAGTCCCAGAAACAAAATGATTTCTCTCCTCCAACTTGGGCCTCCTCAATTCATGTTCAACTTGTGTTTCTTAAGTCATATCAAAGTCCAGGCTGCCAGATCTAATCAGTGTAATTTAACTCCAACTTAGAATGCCTGGGCTCATTTCCCTTGAGAGAATTTTTTCTTTGCCAGTTGAACATGAATATTAAATATTGATTGAGGCACAGAACTAATATTTTTTTTTCTTCTTCATATGCTTTATATATGTGTTTTTTTTCCAGATTTTATACTCTATCTGCACCATTTACTGGGGAATAAGAAGCATGAAACAACTTGCCTCAGGCCATCCAAAGCAGCTCTGAGTTGGGAAGTCTATGACCTTCTGTATCTACTGGAAGGAGGGCAGTATTGAAGGGCTGACTGTAAACCAGGGGCACATGCCAAGGTTTCAATGCAAAGGAAGTAATTCAGCGCTTGACTCTTGGAAATACCCTTTACATGATGATTTGTTCCAATGGTTATTGGCTTTGGATTAATTTTTTGATTAATTTTTGTCTGTTATCATTAGAATCTGATGTAATTTTTTTTTCTTATCAACTTTGAGTTCAGTACTATGTCAAAATCCCCTTTAAATGTCTCTTCTGTTGTCACTTTTCAATTAGACCAGTGATGGAAGCACAAATACTCTTGTACAAATTGAAGATTTTATTTGTGACAGTTTAATACTATGACCTGCTATTCCTTAGGAATTTATTGTAATAGTATTAAAACACATATCTGGATCCATAAATGTGTCATCACAATAGGAACTCAATACTCCACATAAGGCAAATTTTACTCTTAGAAGCCCATGATGGGACATTTGGGAAGAACTATGATTGACATGGAAATCAGAACATCCTCAATTTTGGGCTATCAGAAAACTGAGAGGGTCTCTAGCTGAACCCTTTCCTTACTGGTCCAGTATTTGGTGTGTAATGGACATTGAATCAATACTTGCTTATTTCTTGCTTGGTTTTGAAGATGAAGAAATGCAGGCCCAGAGATGAAGTGATTTGTCCAAGGCCACATATACAGTAAATAAGAGAGGCAGGATTTGAAACCAGGTCTTCTGTCTTTCAATCCACTGCCCTTTCTTTCCTCTGTACCAAGTTGACTGAGTGTCAACACTGAGAGGAAATATGGTGTAGTCAAGGCAGCAAGATCATAGCAATGATAATGATAATCAGCAGCATCATGTATGTAGGACTTTAAGCTTTGAAAATATATATGTATATATTATGTGTGTATATATAAATATATACATATATGGCATATAGAGAGATAGATATGTATGTATACACACAAATGTGTTTATGGATGTATTTATGCTCATCTGATAAGCAGATGGGGTTCAGGTTCTCTCGCAGATGCATACAGTGTAACCCTGGGGAAGTCACATCACCTTTCAGTGCTCCAGGGAGCATGTGAGACATTAGTGGCACATAAGATTCTGATCCACATACAATACTGTAAGACATTTTCACAGGAGAAATTACTTTTAGCAATGAAATTACAGGTCTGAGCCAACTGGAACAAATAAACCCAAAAGCACACATTTAAATGAGTAAATGAATAGATAAGCTGGTAGATCAATGATTAAATAAGAATATAATTAAATGAATGAATGAGCAAATGAATGGAAAAATAAATAAACCAATAAGCAAACAAGCAAGCAAAAAAAAGAAATGAATGTAAGAAGAGAATCATCAGTGATTTTCCCAAGTGAATCTGGGCAGCCTGTTGGAGTCCACCACTGAAAGGCTTCCTGGTGGCTTCATGTTGTTGTAAATTGTGGAATAAAGGTAAATGTCAAAGTAGACATGCTCCCAGTATTTGTGTCCAGCAGGTTTTGTGGACAGGAATGGAGAAGGTTCTGTTAAGAGGAAGACTGATGGAAACACAGACTTCGGTTCTTTTCTTCTTTCCTTTTGGCCTGTTTTGTTTTTGTTTTTCTTTGCTTCTTTGAAAAGCAGTGGGGGCTCTTTCATTTACTGAAAAATACAGCCCGAGTGGTGCCTTCATTGAAAATGTGTTTTCATTGCGTCTATTCCATAGCATTTTATGAGAAAAACAGACCAAAGCTTTGCTCCCACGGCCTCTGCTTTTGGCCCGTGCACCTCTCCCTAAGTACAGCCAGAAAAAAAGAATGAAACTAGGAAGTAGCTAGAGCTGCAGGTGTCTATTTGGAGCAAGCATCATCTCCAGGCCTGAAAAGCATTTACTTTTCAAAGTGGAACAGCAGTAGCAGATGAAATTTCACATTGTGGAAAAATTAACAAGCTCTATCTCAAGCATCAGATGTTTGGGTCATTGTTTATGTGTCTTTTCATATTTATTAATTTAATACAGAATTATGGAGACTTCAAGGCATAAACAAATGCTGAACCCTGCTTTTGTCCCTTAGCAACAGTCTCTGGACTGTCCTCGGGCAGAATCTGAAAGCATGGAGAATCCCCGGGGTGCCTGTGTCCTCCAGGGTGAAAATTTCCCAAACCCCAAGGCTCAATCCACCAATACTTATGTCCATAAATTACAACAAGCAAAGCAGGTAGGGAAAATACCTTCTTTACATACATTAAAGCAAGTTTGAATTCTTTAATGACTGTTACCTCCAAGGTAATTTCTATTTGAATAGTTAGGCAGCTTGCCAAGGTGGGATTATATCTCTTAAACTGGAAGAGTCTTCACAGGCTGTTTTAGACCAATATATATAGATGAGGTAACTCTAAGACCCAAGGAGGTCATGATTTACCCACGATCACATAATTAGTAAATATCTCATGAAGGATTTGAACCCCAGTTTTCTCATCCCTGAATCTGTTTGTTTGTTTTTGGTCACACGGTATCTTCTAACACGAATCCAAAATTTGAAATATGAACACTTGTTCTACAGATGCATTCATACCAGGACGTGATACGAGCGCCTCGAGTATTGGCCTCGAGTTTTAGCACAGGAAAAAAAAAAAGCAATCATGTAGAAGATATAGACCTGTGATGAGGTTCAGTGTAGACTAAATTCATTCTTAGCTATCTAATGTGCTCTCTGTGTTTGGTGAAATAAGATACCTTCGATGCTGCTTTCGTCTTCCCCACCCCACCTCTCCAGGGAAACTGGGATCTGGAATATTTTTTCCGTAAGACAAGAATGGAACTATACTTTTAAGGTTTCTGGCAGTAGATTCCCAGATATTTAAGCAGGAGAGAGGGATGAAATCCAGACAGGTATTGGTCCTTTGAGCCAGGGCACAGCATCCTGTACCTTCAACCTGCTAATTTTCCAATTTAACTTTTCTCTGGAAAACACTAATGCGTGATGACAGATCATGTAACTTTTTTGCATCAGAAATTGAGCTTGAACCATGCCATGTAATTTATGCTCAATCATGACTGGAAGAAATTTGACCCCAGTTCCCCAAGGGCCAAGCACTAATCACAAGACTGAGCAATTATCTAGAGATGCTTAGAGAGAAATGCCAAAAGACTTGGCAAATAATTAAGGACTGTCTGCATCTTGCTCATTTATAGCTAGGGGAAATGGAGAGAGAACTAGGCCAAACCTTCAAGGTAATGTGGACCAAAGCACAGGCAAAAGAGAGGAAGCTGCAGAGACAGACAGATGATGGCCAGTGTCTGGTGACAGTTGGGGGTGGACCCTGTGGAAGCAGTTTTCAGTGTATGAAACATGCCAGGAGGTGGGAGGTGGGAAAGAAAGCTTTGCCATGAGCTTAGGAGAAATGCTTCTCAGGCTTTCTCCATAGGTCATTGGCGTGAACTCGGCCCAGATTTATTGGTGAGTTTCTCCCTAGAGTAAACTTCTATACTCCACTAATCTTTCTCTGTTTCCTGCCTAATGCACCCTATTTATTGTCAGTCTTTTTTTTTCCTTTTGTCATTCTAATTATTTCAAGTTTGAGATGGGCACTCTTTGAAAAGAGAAGAAATAGACATCTGTGTATGGAAAGAGCACAGGAAAAGGCGTCAGGAGAGATGGGTTCCAGTCCTACCTCAGACAGCAGAACTAAGTCTAAATGGTATAGCTACATAGGGCATTTAAGGACGAGTGCTATGGGGGGCACTGTTAAGTAGTGCATAGAGAGTCAAACTTGGTGTCAGGAAGACATGAGTTCAAATCCTGCCTCAGGTACATATACTAGCTGTGTGAGGCTGTGCAAGGCACTTAAGCTCTTCTAATCTTAGTTTTCATAACTATAATGGACGGATCCTAATGCCTATCTCACAAGGCTGATGCTGAGGACCAACTGAGATAATATTTATACACTGTTCTTTCCGAACCTCAAAGGATGATAGAAGTGATAGATATTACTCATTATTTGGCAGCTAGGTGGCATAGTGGATAGAGCACATGGTCTGGAGTCAGGAAGACTCATCTTTGTAAGTTCAAATTTGCACTCAGACACTTATTAGCCGTGTGACCCTTGGCAAGTCAGTCCTCAGTTTCATCCTCTGTCAAATGAGCTGGAGAAGGAAATGGCAAACCACTCCAGTATCTTAGCCAAGAAAATCCCACATGGAGTCACAAGGAGTCAGACACACTGAGATGACTGAACACATTCTTGTTATTATTACTGTTATTATTATAATGTTGATGATAATACTATTGTTTTGACCACAAACAAGTCAGCCTCTTTGATCTTCCATCTATGAACTGAAGATAATCAAATTCTCCTTCATAAAATATAAGTTTCTGGAGGGTTAGAATTTTTTCCCTTTGGTCCTTTGGGAGGGTGAGAGAGAGAGAGAGAGACAGAGAGAGAGACAGAGAGACAGAGAGAAAGACAGAGAGAGAGACAGAGAGAGAAACAGAGACAGAGAGAGAGACAGACAGAGACAGAGAGAGACACACAGACACACAGACATAGACCAGAAACAGAGACAGGGATACAGAGGGACAGAGACAGAGACAGAGAGACAAAGACAGAGACAAAAACAGAGACAGAGACAGAGACAGAAATTTATTAAGCATTTACTGTATTGTCAGGGTCTTAATGTGGCATAATGTCTCAAATAATTTTATATACAATGGATTAATTTGTGAGATATTCAAATAACATTTTTCAACAGCACCACCAGCTACAGACATTTAAAAAGGCAATTTTTATATTACATGATGGCCCAGAACATGGTCACAGTCATGTCATTGTTTTTTTCCAGAGAAGTTAAAGAGAAGCTTCTAATATCAATACTATTCAGACACAGCCAGATTTTTGTCCCCAGGGTCCACATAATTTAGGAAACATGTTTTTGTCTATGTATCACTTCAAACATATCAGCCCCTGTTTTTCAGCCTGCAAATTGAAAAGTATAGGGTGCAGAAGATTCAAGAAAAGGGTCCACATTGAGAATGACATACAAGAAGACTTCCTTATCTCTTTATTTATTGACCCTGGAGTCCAAAGATGGCAACAATGAGGAATCAAAATGTCTGTAACCTGTAGGTGAAGTCTTAATTCAGTCAGGATGAAGATTATTTTGGGTTTCATGTTTTTTTTTTGATGTGAAAATAATAAAGGGTCCTTTGACTAGAGGAACTTATGATGTATAGTATTGAAGAAAGCTACTTTTCCTATATTGATGTATATTATATATTATATATTTAGATGGGGTATCACTGATAAGAGTATTTCTTTCAGGGATGCGGATCACAGGCCAACCAGGCAAATGCATCCTGTGTGACTAGTTCATGTCCTCTCATAAATACTCCACAAGGAAAACATGCTGGGAGAGGGGGCAGGCAGGAGGATTTCTCTAGTTCTCTTCACATCATACGGTTGTCCGTGGAGAACATAGACTGTTCATTATTTTTACCCTGCTTTTCATATGTGGTCAGTCCATTTTTTGCTCATTATCATGAGAATATTTATACTGTATAATAAAACTATCTCATTTTGGAATAAATTTAATTAGGGCTGAGCCAGCAGAACTTTGATTGGGTGCAATCTGTGCAGAAAAGAGCTTTAGGAAGATAGTCTAATTTATGGTTTGATGGCATGAAAAAGCAGGCAGAAACCATGTTTAATCTACTCAAAAGAACAAGTCAAATTTAAGGCCTGTTTTAAATCTGTGTCTCTATATTGTTTCAATAAATATAGATGAGTCATATACTTAATAAACTAGTCTCAAAAGGGTCTGTCTTGGGGGGGGTCATGATTTCAAGTTATATGATTTAAAAGTAATACACCTTCAGTTGATATAGTGGAAAAACAGGTTGGGCTAGGAGTCAAGAGACTTGGGTATTGATCCCAACTCTGCTAGTAACTTTTTATGTGACCGTAGACAAGACCCTGTTCTTCTCCAAACCTCAATTTTAACATGTAGGACCCCATCTTTAAAATGAGGGAGCTGGGGAGTGTAGCCAAGATGGAGGAGTAAAAGCAGTGACTTGCTTGAGCTCTCTCCTAAAGCCCTCCAAATCCCTGTAAAAAATGGCTCTAAACAAATTCTAAAGCAGCAGAACCCACAAAAAGACAGAGTGAAACAAATTTCCAGCCCAAGACAACCTGAATGATTGATCAGAAAGATGTATCGCACTGGGCGGGGAGAGGAGTGCAGTTCAGCATGGGTGCACAGGCAAACCAGGCCTCAGTGAACCTGGAATAGGCCTCAGAGGACTGAATCACAGGCAGCTGTGGTGGTTTTGAGACTTCTCAACCCATGAACAACTTAGAAGGTCAATAGGAAAAGTCTGTGTCTTCAGTGAGAGAGAAGCATTGGTGATCACAGCCCCAGTCCAAAAGCATAGCGCTTGAGCTTCCAGCCCACCAACTGAGAGGGAATCAAGTGTCTGATCAGAGGGGGATTGTAGGGATCTTTTTGCTGGTACAGGATTCTCCTGCTTTGCCCTGGATCTGGGTCACAGTTCTGGGGGGCAGTCCTGGGGCGAGGAGGGAGACTGGTATGGTGGAGCTTATAGTGGCTGTGGAGAGGAAATCCTCCTCACAGTTCCAAGACAAAAAAGAATGCTTGTGGCCACTCATAGACCAAATCACAGTCCAGGAAAGGAGTAAACA